CAAACATATAACATACACAAACATATAACATACACAAACATATAACATACACAAGAGGCCTGTAATTTTAACTTTGTTATATTTTTTCATGTCCAATTACAATTGTCTCATGAGCTATTTTATTGTTGCAACTTTCAGAGCCTGCAGAACATGCAAAGCTTTGAGAGATTTTTTCTTAAAAGGATCCATTTCAAACTTTTAGTGTTTAAACCACGTGGTCTGTACTCGGGCTTATCACAGACTGTGTCCCCTATATTTTTAATGAGCTCTTGTTACTAAAAAAAAACTCATGCACGTGCAATAAATGTTTTTCCCTTTTTTTTTTAAAGCCAGTTCGGATTCCTTAAAAAATGTAAATTAGTTTCAAACTTTAATACTTCACCTTTGTTTCACGTTCATGTGGAGAAAAGACCATTGTTTTATGTGTGTGTACTTGCACCAATCATGTCTCAGATAAACTGCCAACAGTTATATCAAAGACATAATTGTCCTAATTGTTTCTAATTTAGCTATTTGGAAGAGAAACATGTCATAAAAGATTTCAAAAAATGTCCCTACATCTTTGTTTTCAACCAATGAACAGTGTTGCGTCTATGTGTTATCAGAAATGATCCAATATCACCTTTAGCCAAAATTCAGAAATGCTTTAAATCATTTTTCAAACTTTAATTGTCTGAACAAACCATTTTGTACTAAATGCAGCGTCCATTAAAAGCTGCAGTTCTCTTTCTAGCACCAGTTTCAACTGTGCATGTGACTGTTTTAAATGAGAAACGAGCCACGGTTAGAGGTTGAAAACACTGCTTTAAATATCCGTATTACCAAGATCATGCAGTTAAAATCAATAATTCTAAACTTCTCCGCGTCTATAACTTTAAATAATACTAGTTTCAATAATAGTGCTCCTCTACCTTAAATATACTGCTGTTCTAATCTCCTTGTGTCTCATGCTAAAGCAAGAGTCTAATTAATTTTAACGATTGTCCTGTATTCTTTCATGCAGCTAAATGTGGTGTTATGAACGAATGACCTAGCTAAATGTGTAAATATGACTTAATATGTCTCTGTGCGTTTGTTGCCTGTCTGTATATTTACCTTCTGTGTGTCTCATTTAGGCCAGCCACGTCTCAAATGTCCGTTAATGTCTTTCTTTTACTCATGGCGTCTTTCAATGTCTTTTGTCTCAAAGTGTCCAATGTCTTTGTCTCCATGTCTTTTTCCTTCTTCTTTAAACAATCACTTTCTTTCTTCTTCTTTCAATAATCACCTTCTTTCTTCTTTCAATCACTTTCTCATGTCTTTCTTTGTCTCAGTGTGTGTCCTTCTTCTTCTTGTTAGGTTTACACAACGTTCTTCTCCGTGCACATAACTCCACTCGGTTTGTGCAAAAGTCTGGTTCTTCTCCATGAAATGGAGGCCGGAGAGGTCTTCTTCGAGAGTTCCTGTTAGCTGCTGCAGCCGATGCTGCAGTCTTTGCTGCCCCCTGTGGGTGAAACGGGGGAGACGCAGATGGTCCGTGCTGATGGCGCCCGATTGAGGTCTTGTGGCAGACGATTTTGGCCAAATGAGACAGACAGAAGTTTTCTCGGAAAAAACAGACAAACAAGAAGCACAAACAAGTGTGTTAATTACCATACGAAACCAATGATTAATTACAATTCAAAATAAACCTATGAAATAATTAATATTAACATTTTAAACATTAAATTCTGAAAACCAATTCTGCATTCACCTGCTATCCTAAGCCCTACTTTTTCCAAAAGTATAATGCTCTCTAAGATCATTCTAACTTTTATATCACCAAAATGTAGGGAAAAAAAACTTGTCCAGATAAAAAATAAAAATAAAATAATGCCTCTTTATAATCTAACTCAAAGTTCTGTGATCCTATGACTCCATGTCAGTAACATTATCGTGTGTATATATGTAATTTTCTACAAAAAATTCTTTCTTCACGAGAGAGAGAGAAAGACAGAGAGAGAGAGAGAGAGAGAGAGAGAGAGAGAGAGAGAGAGGAGGAAGGGGAGAGAGAGAGAGAGAGAGAAGACAGAACGAGGGAGGGGAGGGGCTACTCGAACAAAGGAACACATGGATGATTGAAATACACCCCTTCTTTGCTACATTTTCCTCGTTTTTATCGTGATATGGTCTTAATCAGTGGTAAAAGTTTTTCTCACGTCAAACGACACTTTACATTTTATCCTTAAATACGTCAGTAATGGAAAACATTACCATTTGCTACATGATTAATGTATCGAGAGTTCCAGCAGAATCTTTTTTGTTTTTTTTTCCCTGATTCTCTGTAACTGTCGAAACATTACATCCCAATACAAGAGAAAAACTCCCAGACTGATCTTTTGTCATTTCTTCACATGAAAACTCATAGTTACAGCCAAGTGGCTCCCTTTTTTCTCATTAATCAGATCATTATTATCAGAATCCACATTTTAAATACTTGGCTTTTTTCTGTTTAAATGTACCCTTTTTTTTCCCGCCCCCCGGGGGATATGGAGTTTTTATTATCCTATCACTTCTGACCCTAACTGCCCCTATTTCTCTAATTCTATTCCTATTTTTTTACTAATATGCTTGTGCCTCTCTGCACGAAGGTGTGCCTCTTTTGCACTTCTAAACCCTGTGGACCTCTCATCCTGTATATTCTTTTTTTTTTTAGAGCGAGACCAACATCCCTCAAGGTTAAAACGTCTAAACCTGACTATTGTTCTATCACGTCCGATAGAACGCCCATCACGGCAGTCTTGTCCACACTGCAATCTGTCGAGCCAAAATCTCTCTCTCTTCTATTTAAAACAATGTGCAGATTTCCAAAACTGTGATCCGCTTACCTTAGAAGCGACCTTTTTGAAGAGCAGAGAGATTTTTCCAAACCCACAAATCCAGTCTCTATAACTGAGCTCATCTCTGTCCCGCTCCTGCCCCGATCACGTCGGGATTCACCAAAATGAAGATAAATACTTTATCGATCCCCGTAGGGGAAAGTCAGGTTCATTTGTACATCCATTCTAAACATTTCTAACTGCCTACCAATAGTCGAAGGAACAAAGGATCTCTTAAAACGTTCCGTTCGGCAGCGCAGTGATATACTGTAAGCCTGTTGCTACGATTACTCCCCTGAGCGGCCACAGTGTCCTGCAGAGGGTGTCTGGAGTTACCCAGGATGCTCTGCATTAGAGCCCTCATCCTTCTCTCCAGCACAGCTCCCACAGAGTCCACACTTCTCCCCATCACAGAGACACATTTCCTGATCAGCCTGTCGAGCCGGTTACTGTCTCTTGAGGTCAGACTGCCGCCCCAACATGCGATAGTGTCTCAATTTTTTGGGGCGGTTAGTGTCCAACTAGAAGGACTGCGGTGATGATCCAGGACACTTTAACATTCTACAACATGGATGGACATTTATCAACATTCATGGACATTAGTCTCTCCCTATGGACCGATTCATATGTGTATATTTTGTGTTTTAACTGTTGATTCTCTGATCTGTGTTGGTGAATTCAATGGTTTTGTTAAGTCCTCTGAGATGATTTCTGTCGTGATGTAGGGCTTTACAAGAACACGTTGTTGTTGTTGTCAATTGCGGCTTTGAAGTTATTACAGAATTCTAGATCATGTTTAGTGTAAAATTGCTCAAAAGCGGAAATTTTTTTGGTAAAGGTCTACTGGTTGTTGAAAGATTCATAATCATGATGTTAACAAAGTGAACAATGTCAAATAGCCTTCAGCTTCATAGTAACAGGTTTTTGGCGAGCTCTAGTGGCCACTTCACACACTTGATTCGATTCCAGCTCTTTCCTTTTCTCTTTCTCCAGTACCTGCAAAGTGTTTTTCCTTTGACGTAGTTTTTCCAGAGTTACACAACAAAGAAGTATGATGTTGTTCTGACTGATTGGTCCTATTCTTTAGTATGAGCGTGTGTTTACCAATCCCAATAATTTTACCGTGATTTTCCCCATTGTGTTTGTAGCTCTAAGTGCAAAGTGAAATTATAGCTGAGCTGACACATAGATTCTTCCGAAGGATAGAAAAGTCTGATTGTTGTCATCTATAGATGTGTACGTAGTCAATACACCACAATGAATGTACTGATTTGGTTGTGTTTATCTCTAAAACAAAATGCTCATGGTTATGTGTCTAATAAAAGGGTTTATTGGGAGTGGATGGTATTCAAATCTTTGCACATGTCATTATTCCTACAGCAACACTATTTCTAATGAATGTGTTTGTTTGTTTGATTGATTGATACTTCAGGTGTCTCGTTGCAGAAAAAATAAAATTGATCATTCTAAAAAGCCAACAATGTAATAAGCCTTTCAGGTCACAGCAGCAGAGGTGGTGTAGACTCTGGGTGGTGCAGGACGGGTCACAAGGTGAAGTAGCTGCTTGGGTCGAACCATTTTCTCAGCTGTAGTCCAAAATAAAAGCCCCAATGCTTATTAGCATTTTTCAAAAAGTTGGCATTCTTCCAGTGGATTTTCGCCTGATCCGCTTAGTTCAGACCATGAATCCTCTCTGCTCCGGTCTTGACCAGTGCAGAACCGTGAACACTGTTGTGCAGCAACATCTCAGGTAGAAAAAAGAAATTAAAATTAAAATTGTACAAGACAAAACAACTGTTATTTTGGCCTCTGACTGAGGGTGGTCCTCTAAAGATGATCTAAAGATTTGACAATCAATCAGTTCTCAGCCCAAAAAGTAAATTAGTGACTCACTCTTCCGTACAAGTATGCAAAAGATGACATGTTACAGAAGATGTTTGTGGTCTGATTATACTACTGGTTTCAGTTCCATGCATGTCATGTTTCTGGTGTGTTTTGTGTTTCATAACTGCTCTGTAAAAAAGGGTCTGTGTGATGCCAGGAGTGGGACTGATTTAGAATCTTTAATTCAAGCTATTTATACCAGCGTTCCTCCTCTGCCGCCTCTGCCGCTCCGTATTTATAGACAAAGACCAGATTAAACGAACAAAAGGATAGGAAACGATGGTTTTGTTTGCGGTGTACAACACGCTCTATACCAGGTTTGGGAAAGTGATTGAAGCCGATGTAGGTGTGTGCTTTTGAGGTGCAAAAATGGTTTTGCAACAATATTGTGAGATTTTGAACTAGGGCTATCTCAATTATCAGCATTCAAATCCAGAAAGATTCAGAGAAAGGGAGAGAGAGGCCAGAAAAGCACTGAGACCTTGAAAAGTGAACAGTGTTATAGTGAGGGACCCCTGTACAGCTGCAACAGTGTTATTGAATTGTATCTCTCCTCTTCTTCAGGTGAGTTTCGAGTCTCTGTTCCGCTCATTCGACCCCGAGGTGCAGTTCCAGTATTTCAAGTCGTTCCGTCGCGTTCGCATCAGCTTCAGCGACGCTCTGGCCGCGGCTGAAGCTCGACTGCGGCTTCACAAGAGCGACTTCCACGGCAAAGAGATGCGCCTCTACTTCGCACAGGTACAAACTCACACCAGGGAAAAGAGGTTTAAGCAGGAGACCAGAGAGAGAGGGAGACCAGAGAGAGAGGGAGAGACCAGAGAGAGAGGGAGACCAGAGAGAGAGAGGGAGACCAGAGAGAGAGGGGGAGACCAGAGAGAGAGGGGGAGACCAGAGAGAGAGGGGGAGACCAGAGAGAGAGGGGGAGACCAGAGAGAGAGGGGGAGACCAGAGAGAGAGGGGGAGACCAGAGAGAGAGGGGGAGACCAGAGAGAGAGGGAGACCAGAGAGAGAGAGGGAGACCAGAGAGAGAGAGGGAGACCAGAGAGAGAGGGGGAGACCAGAGAGAGAGGGGGAGACCAGAGAGAGAGGGGGAGACCAGAGAGAGAGGGGGAGACCAGAGAGAGAGGGGGAGACCAGAGAGAGAGGGGGAGACCAGAGAGAGAGGGGGAGACCAGAGAGAGAGGGGGAGACCAGAGAGAGAGGGGGAGACCAGAGAGAGAGGGGGAGACCAGAGAGAGAGGGGGAGACCAGAGAGAGAGGGGGAGACCAGAGAGAGAGGGGGAGAACCAGAGAGAGAGGGGAGACCAGAGAGAGAGGGGGAGACCAGAGAGAGAGGGGGAGACCAGAGAGAGAGGGGGAGACCAGAGAGAGAGGGGGAGACCAGAGGGAGAGGGGGAGACCAGAGAGAGGTGGAGGGAGACCAGAGAGAGAGGGGGAGACCAGAGAGAGGGGGGGAGACCAGAGAGAGGGGGGGAGACCAGAGAGAGAGGGGGAGACCAGAGAGAGGGGGAGGGAGACCAGAGAGAGGGGGAGGGAGACCAGAGAGAGAGGGGGAGACCAGAGAGAGAGGGGGAGACCAGAGAGAGAGGGGGAGACCAGAGAGAGAGGGGGAGACCAGAGAGAGAGGGGGAGACCAGAGGGAGAGGGGGAGACCAGAGAGAGGTGGAGGGAGACCAGAGAGAGAGGGGGAGACCAGAGAGAGAGGGGGAGACCAGAGAGAGGGGGAGGGAGACCAGAGAGAGAGGGGGAGAGACCAGAGAGAGAGGGGGAGACCAGAGAGAGAGGGGGAGACCAGAGAGAGAGAGGGGAGACCAGAGAGAGAGGGGGAGACCAGAGAGAGAGGGGGAGACCAGAGAGAGAGGGGGAGACCAGAGAGAGAGGGAGACCAGAGAGAGAGGGAGACCAGAGAGAGAGGGGGAGACCAGAGAGGGGGAGACCAGAGAGAGAGGGGGAGACCAGAGAGAGAGGGAGACCAGAGAGAGAGAGGGAGACCAGAGAGAGAGGGGAGGAAGAGGGAGAGAGAGAAGGGGGGAGGGCAGGAGGGAGAGAGAGAGAGGGAGAGAGAGGAGGAGAGAGGAGAGAAGGAGATGAGGGAGGATGAGGCTGAGAGAGAGAGGAGAGAGAGAGAGGGAGGGGAGGGAGTGGGAGGAGAGAGGAGGAGTGAGAAGAGAAGGCGAGGAGGGGAGGAGAGGAGAGAGGGAGAGGAGGTGACGGGAGAGAGAGGAGGAGAAGGCGGAGGGAGAGAGAGAGAGAGAGAGGAGAGAAGGAGAGAGAGGAGAGGTGAGCGTGTGTGAGGCTGAGGAGAGGGAGAGACGGGGTCGAGATGAGGGAGGAGACGTCGAGAGGGGGGAGGAGAGAGAGAGAGAGGAGGGAGAGGTGGAGAGAGAAGGAGAGGAAGAGGGAGGGTGGTACAGGAAGATGGGCTGGCGAGGAGAGAGAAGGAGGAAGAACTGCGAGGAGAGAGAGGGGGAGGGATGGAACCGGGATTGGAGCAGAGATGAGAGAGAGGAGAGTGAGGTTGGAGAGGAGGGGGAGGGATGGAGGGAGTGGGAGATGAGAGAGAGAGGCTGAGTGTGATTGGTGTGAGACGGTTAGGGAGCGAGATGAGCCGGAGGGAGAGAGTGTGAGGAGAGAGGAGGAAGAGTGAGAGAGAGAGAGAGGAGAAGATGAGGAGGAGAGTGAGAGAGTCGAGTGAGATGATTGTGAGAAGAGAGAGAGGATGCTAGAGTTTTGTTTTTTAAGGTTTTGTATTTTAGTTAGCATGTGTTTCTTATGAGACTGTACAATGCACCGGGGCTTTGTATCTTCTGCCCTGGAGAGAACTGACCGTTGCCTCTGTGAGGTTCTATCTCCGTCTGGTTGCCGTGGGTTACATGACGGCGAAAGCAGCAGCAGGACGTGGCGCTTTGTCTCTGACGCTGCTCCTCTCGTGTTGCACTGACACTTGATCTTCTTAAAGGCTTACCCTCCGCAGCGGCCAGTGTGAGAGCCAGGTTAATCCACTCTGGCTGACAAACCGGTTCTGCCCGCCCTGCCGCACATGCCCTGGGCCTGGCTCCCCCCCTCGGTCCCCCACCTCCACCTCCACCTCCACGTGATGAGCACAGACCACCGCAGAGTCTGAAGCCAATGGAGGTCTGACGTAAGCCGTCTGTAAACTCTGGTCCATTATCATTTCCTTCATGTAACGTCTGGGTCTGGTCCCAGTGTCTGCAATTACATCGGTTGAATTCCATCCGACCAATCAGCGAGCGCGGGAGGCGGGTGTTGTAGGGTGGTGTTTGCTGGTTGTAGTTTGGCGGAGATTGCGATAGTAAAGTTCTCTGTTCTGGTTCTATCAAGTAAATGTCATCGCTGCAAAGATGTTGGCCACGTTTCCACCGCAGAAACTTCGGGGTAATTTTCCAGGGCTAGCCCCGTCGGTGCGTGTCTCCACTGCAGGAACTTTCCCCACAGGGCCATTTACAGGAACCTTTACGGGGCCCAACGGAGTCCATCATCCATGGTATGTATTTGGGCCCTGGTGGGACTTGACGTTAACCGGGCGATGATTGGCTAAAGCTAGCGCAGACTCAGACGCCAGCAGAAACCAGCAAAACAACCGGCATTAGCCTAGCAGCCTTAGCCTAGCAGCATTAGCCTAGCAGCAATAGCCTAGCAGCATTAGCTCAGCAGCATTAGCTCAGCAGCATTAGCCCAGCAGCATTAGCTCAGCAGCATTAGCCTAGCAGCATTAGCCTAGCAGCATTAGCCTACCAGCATTAGCCTAGCAGCATTAGCTCAGCAGCATTAGCCTTGCAGCATTAGCCTAGCAGCCTTAGCCTAGCAGCATTAGCCTAGCAGCATTAGCCTAGCAGACACCACTGGAAACAGCGAACAACAGGACGGCATTGATTCAGACGGGGTTTGAGGCATGCGGCAATCGAAACTCATGACGTCGTCGAGTGGTCCTACTGCAGTGGAGACAGGGACACTGAGAGGACCACAGAGAGGACCACAGAGAGACCACAGAGAGGACCACAGAGAGGACCACAGAGAAGACCACTGAGAGGACCACTGAGAGGACCACAGAGAGGACCACAGAGAGGACCACAGAGAGGACCACAGAGAGACCACAGAGAGACCACAGAGAGGACCACAGAGAGGACCACAGAGAGGACCACAAGAGAGGACCACAGAGAGGACCACAGAGAGACCACAGAGAGGACACAGAGAGGACCACAGAGAGGACCACAGAGAGGACCACAGAGAGGACCACAGAGAGAAGACCACAGAGAGGACCACAGAGAGAGACCACAGAGAGACCACAGAGAGGACCACAGAGAAGACCACAGAGAAAAGACCACAGAGAAGACCACAGAGACCACAGAGAAGACCACAGAGAGGACCACAGAGAGACCACAGAGAGGACCACAGAGAGGACCACAGAGAGGACCACAGAGAGACCACAGAGAGGACCACAGAGAGGACCACAGAGAGACCTACAGAGAGGACCACAGAGAGACCACAGAGAGACCACAGAGAGGACCACAGAGAGGACAACAGAGGACCACAGAGAGACCACAGAGAGGACCACAGAGAGGACCACAGAGAGGGACCACAGAGAGGACCACAGAGAGGACCACAGGTGGAGAGGACCACAGAGAAGACCACAGAGAAGGACCACAGAGAGGACCACAGAGAGACCACAGAGAGGACCACAGGAAGACCACAGAGAGGACCACAGAGAGGACCACAGAGAGGACCACAGAGAGGACCCACAGAGAGGACCACAGAGAGGACCACAGAGAGGACCACAGAGAAGACCACAGAGAGGACCACAGAGAGACCACAGAGAGGACCACAGAGAAGACCACAGAGAAGACCACAGAGAGGACCACAGAGAGGACCACAGAGAGGACCACAGAGAGGACCACAGAGAGACCACAGAGAAGACCACAGAGAAGACCACAGAGAGGACCACAGAGAGGACCACAGGGGGGACCACAGAGAGGACCACAGAGAGGACCACAGAGAGGACCACAGAGAGGACCACAGAGAGGACCACAGAGAGGACCACAGAGACGACCACAGAGAGGACCACAGAGAGACCACAGAGAGGACCACAGAGAAGACCACAGAGAAGACCACAGAGAGGACCACAGAGAGACCACAGAGAGGACCACAGAGAAGACCACAGAGAAGACCACAGAGAGGACCACAGAGAGGACCACAGAGAGGACCACAGAGACGACCACAGAGAGGACCACAGAGAGACCACAGAGAGGACCACAGAGAAGACCACAGAGAGGACCACAGAGAAGACCACAGAGAGGACCACAGACAGGACCACAGAGAGGACCACAGAGAGGACCACAGAGAGGACCGAGGTAGAGGAAGGTTCCTGTAAAAGTTCCGTTCCGCTCCTTTTACCACAAACTCCTGCGGTGGAAACGCAGCTGTTGAGGCTCTACTCCGCACGGGCTCCGATAGTGGCAAAGGAGATGGCTAAAGCTAGGCCAGATGCTAAAGCTAGGCCAGATGCTAAAGCTAGGCCAGATGCTAAAGCTAGGCCAGATGCTAAAGCTAGGCCACATGCTAAAGCTAGGCCAGATGCTAAAGCTAGGCCAGATGCTAAAGCTAGGCCAGATGCTAAAGCTAGGCCAGATGCTAAAGCTAGGCCAGATGCTAAAGCTAGGCCAGATGCTAAAGCTAGGCCAGATGCTAAAGCTAGGCCAGATGCTAAAGCTAGGCCAGATGCTAAAGCTAGGCCAGATGCTAAAGCTAGGCCAGATGCTAAAGGCCTCACTCACTCGGGTGCATTACATACATCATGGAAGAAGTAGATGACCTACAATCTACAACTTCAAGATTAGTTTAGTCTCAATGTCTGAATTTTGTGTGCAACATTTCTTTATAACAGGTCTACACTGTCTTCAGCTTCATGATCGTCGGTCGATAAGACGTCCACACTCGTCCAAACTTAGACCGAGAAGCAAGAGGAGCTGGACCTTCTGACCACTGGAGAACCCGTGTCTCACAGCAGGACATACGGGGTTAATCAGAGGCTAGCATAAGCAGCTAGCACAGACAGTATGCTAACCTCTGCCCGAATTAAAATATGTTTCACCACAAACACAGCAGCAGTGAGTAACAACCATGAGTGAGACTCTTGTGAAAAGTCTTGTTTAATGCACTTCTGTAACACGGAGCATCAAAGGCCGTTAGTATTTATCAGGTCACAAAGAAGTGTTTCTTTTGGATCTCCTCAGAATCTAAACACGGGAGAACACACTTGGGCGGCGGGACCTGGGCTCCTGAAACAAAGCGTTCCAAAAACAACCTTCACTGCAGCTCGTGAAACAAAGCAGACCAACGATCCCGACTCCTAAATATTTATCTGTTGCTGCTAATAGGAACAAGGAGGTATTTTAAAACACAGACTGTGCCATGTCCTGAAATAGAGACCGGTTTGGAGAGAATGGAACCAGCTGTGATCGTGTGGCTCGGTATAAAACTGTTAAAGAAGCAAAAATATGTATTTATTTATTTATTTATTTATTTATTTATTCATTCATTCATTCATTCATTCATTCATTCATTCATTCATTCATTCATTCATTCATTCATTCATTCATTCATTCATTCATTCATTCATTTATTTATTTATTTGTTTCAATTGTAGACAAAAACAATACTACACATATTACAATTACATTTCAAATAATTGACGTCTTGTCTCACAAATGAAAAGGAGCAGAAAGAAGAAAAAAATCTTATTTTGCCTGCCCCTTTCTTCATACATGTAAAAATTAAATTAAAAAAAATTAAAACAAGAAAAAAATAAGATGGCCTTTAGCACTTCGTCAAACTGTTTTTATTTGATGTGTTTTTGTTTTCATAATTCTTTGTTTTTTATTGTTTTTTTCTAATCATTCATTTCGTACGATTTCACTGTTGTCAGGTTGTGAAAGACCTTTTTCCAACATCGGACTCGTGACGTTCCCGAAACATACGTGTTATAAACATACGTGTTATAAACATACGTGTTATAAACATACGTGTTATAAACATACGTGTTATAAACATACGTGTTATAAGGCAAACGTAGTCGCACAGTAATAGGTAGAAAAAAGTTTACTTACTGAGATTAAAGTATTCTCATCTCCAAATATTAAAATACATACAATAAATCACAATTCTCTCAAAAACCTGACTTCTGTCCCAGTCCCTGTGCTCCTCAGAGTCCCAACAGGAGACCAGTCCCTGTGCTCCTCAGAGTCCCAGCAGGAGGCCAGTCCCTGTGCTCCTCAGAGTCCCAACAGGAGGCCAGTCCCTGTGCTCCTCAGAGTCCCAGCAGGAGTCCAGTCCCTGTGCTCCTCAGAGTCCCAGCAGGAGTCCAGTCCCTGTGCTCCTCAGAGTCCCAACAGGAGACCAGTCCCTGTGCTCCTCAGAGTCCCAACAGGAGGCCAGTCCCTGTGCTCCTCAGAGTCCCAACAGGAGTCCAGTCCCTGTGCTCCTCAGAGTCCCAACAGGAGACCAGTCCCTGTGCTCCTCAGAGTCCCAACAGGAGGCCAGTCCCTGTGCTCCTCAGAGTCCCAGCAGGAGTCCAGTCCCTGTGCTCCTCAGAGTCCCAGCAGGAGTCCAGTCCCTGTGCTCCTCAGAGTCCCAACAGGAGACCAGTCCCTGTGCTCCTCAGAGTCCCAACAGGAGGCCAGTCCCTGTGCTCCTCAGAGTCCCAACAGGAGGCCAGTCCCTGTGCTCCTCAGAGTCCCAACAGGAGGCCAGTCCCTGTGCTCCTCAGAGTCCCAACAGGAGGCCAGTCCCTGTGCTCCTCAGAGTCCCAACAGGAGGCCAGTCCCTGTGCTCCTCAGAGTCCCAACAGGAGGCCAGTCCCTGTGCTCCTCAGAGTCCCAACAGGAGACCAGTCCCTGTGCTCCTCAGAGTCCCAACAGGAGACCAGTCCCTGTGCTCCTCAGAGTTGGTCCATATGGCTCTAACAGATGTACCTTGGTGTGGACCATGGAGAGACTTGTAACAAACAGAGCTGCTTTAAAGTCTTTTCTCTGAGCCACAGAAGTAAGTAACTAATGTTTATTTATATACCTCTTCTCACAGACCAGAGTCAAAGCGGTTTACGGTCGTGGCCCTTTGTCTCTCTCTCCTCACAGAGATGGGAGCAGGACCCTGTGACTCTCTTTTCTGTCGCTCATCGAGTCCTGACCGTTTTCCTTTAGCATCAGGCGCTAACACCTTCCACAGCTGTTGTCGACCGTCGCTCATCAGGGGAAGTCCATTCACACGGCGGGGAAGCAGATAAGGCCGAATGACCCGCCGCTGATGGCTATCGGCTCCTCATACGTCAGTGCACGCCACAGTCCACGCCACAGCCCACGCCACAGTCCACGCCACAGCCCACGCCACAGTCCACGCCACAGCCCACGCCACAGTCCACGCCACCACAGCCCACGCCACAGCCCACGTCACAGCTCACGTCACAGCCCACGCCACAGTCCACGCCACAGTTCACGCCACAGCCCACGTCACAGCCCACGTCACAGCCCACGTCACAGCCCACGCCACAGCCCACGCCACAGCCCACGTCACAGTCCACGCCACAGTTCACGCCACAGCCCACGCCACAGCCCACGCCACAGCTCACGTCACAGCCCACGACACAGCCCACGCCACAGCCCACGTCACAGCCCACGCCACAGCCCACGCCACAGCCCACGTCACAGCCCACGCCACAGTCCACGCCACAGGTCACGTCACAGCCCACAGCCACAGCTCACGCCACAGCCCACGTCACAGCCCACGCCACAGCCCACGCCACAGCCCACGCCACAGCCCACGCCACAGCTCACGCCACAGCCCACGCCACAGCCCACGCCACAGTCCACGTCACAGCCCACGTCACAGCCCACGCCACAGCCCACGTCACAGCCCACGCCACAGCCCACGCCACAGCCCACGCCACAGCTCACGTCACAGCCCACGCCACAGCCCACGCCACAGCCCACGTCACAGTTCACGTCACAGCCCACGCCACAGCCCACGCCACAGTCCACGCCACAGCTCACGCCACAGTCCACGCCACAGCCCACGCCACAGCTCACGTCACAGCCCACGTCACAGCCCACGCCACAGCCCACGTCACAGCCCACGCCACAGCCCACGCCACAGCCCACGCCACAGCTCACGTCACAGCCCACGCCACAGCCCACGCCACAGCCCACGCCACAGTCCACGTCACAGCCCACGTCACAGCCCACGCCACAGCCCACGTCACAGCCCACGCCACAGCCCACGCCACAGTCCACGCCACAGCTCACGCCACAGTCCACGTCACAGCCCACGCCACAGCCCACGCCACAGCCCACGCCACAGCCCACGTCACAGCCCACGCCACAGCCCACGCCACAGCCCACGCCACAGCCCACGTCACAGCCCACGCCACAGCCCACGCCACAGTCCACGCCACAGCTCACGCCACAGTCCACGCCACAGCCCACGCCACAGCCCACGTCACACAGCCCACGCCACAGCCCACGCCACAGCACACGCCACAGCCCACGCCACAGTCCACGCCACAGCCCACGTCACAGCCCACGCCACAGCCCACGCCACAGTCCACGCCACAGCCCACGCCACAGCCCACGTCACAGTCCACGCCACAGCCCACGCCACAGCCCACGCCACAGCCCACAGCTCACGCCACAGTCCACGCCACAGTCCACGCCACAGCCCACGCCACAGCCCACGCCACAGCTCACGCCACAGCCCACGTCACAGCCCACGCCACAGTCCACGCCACAGTTCACGTCACAGCCCACGCCACAGTTCACGTCACAGCCCACGCCACAGCCCACGCCACAGCCCACGCCACAGCCCACGCCACAGCCCACGCCATAGCTCACGCCACAGTCCACGTCACAGCCCACGTCACAGCCCACGCCACAGCCCACGTCACAGCCCACGCCACAGCCCACGCCACAGCCCACGCCACAGCCCACGTCACAGCCCACGCCACAGCCCACGCCACAGCCCACGTCACAGTTTACGTCACAGCCCACGCCACAGCCCACGCCACAGCCCACGCCACAGTCCACGTCACAGCCCACGCCACAGTTCACGTCACAGCTCACGCCACAGCCCACGTCACAGTTTACGTCACAGCCCACGCCACAGCCCACGCCACAGCCCACGCCACAGCCCACGCCACAGTTCACGCCACAGCCCACGCCACAGCCCACAGCCCACGCCACAGCCCACGCCACAGTCCACGTCACAGCCCACGCCACAGTTCACGTCACACAGCCCACGCCACAGCCCACAGCCCACGCCACAGTCCACGTCACAGCCCACGTCACAGCCCACGCCACAGCCCACGTCACAGCCCACGCCACAGCCCACGCCACAGCCCACGCCACAGCCCACGTCACAGTTCACGTCACAGCCCACGCCACAGTCCACGCCACAGCTCACGCCACAGTCCACGCCACAGCCCACAGCCCACGCCACAGCCCACGCCATAGCTCACGCCACAGTCCACGTCACAGCCCACGTCACAGCCCACGCCACAGCCCACGTCACAGCCCACGCCACAGCCCACGCCACAGTCCACGCCACAGCTCACGCCACAGTCCACGCCACAGCCCACGCCACAGCCCACGTCACAGCCCACGCCACAGTCCACGCCACAGCCCACGCCACAGTCCACGCCACAGCCCACGCCACAGCTCACGTCACAGCCCACGCCACAGTCCACGGCACAGCCCACGCCACAGCTCACGCCAAGCCCACGCCACAGCCCACGCCACAGCCCACGCCACAGCCCACGCCACAGTCCACGTCACAGCCCACGTCACAGCCCACGCCACAGCCCACGTCACAGCCCACGCCACAGCCCACGCCACAGTTCACGTCACAGCCCACGCCACAGTTCACGTCACAGCCCACGCCACAGCCCACAGCCCACGCCACAGTCCACGTCACAGCCCACGTCACAGCCCACGCCACAGCCCACGTCACAGCCCACGCCACAGCCCACGCCACAGCCCACGCCACAGCCCCACGTCACAGTTCACGCCACAGCCCACGCCACAGTCCACGCCACAGCCCCACGTCACAGTTCACGTCACAGCCCACGCCACAGCCCACGCCACAGTCCACGCCACAGCTCACGCCACAGTCCACGCCACAGCCCACAGCCCACGCCACAGCCCACGCCATAGCTCACGCCACAGTCCACGTCACAGCCCACGTCACAGCCCACGCCACAGCCCACGTCACAGCCCACGCCACAGCCCACGCCACAGTCCACGCCACAGCTCACGCCACAGTCCACGCCACAGCCCACGCCACAGCCCACGTCACAGCCCACGCCACAGTCCACGCCACAGCCCACGCCACAGTCCACGCCACAGCCCACGCCACAGCCCACGTCACAGCCCACGCCACAGTCCACGCCACAGCCCACGCCACAGCTCACGCCAAGCCCACGCCACAGCCCACGCCACAGCCCACGCCACAGCCCACGCCACAGTCCACGTCACAGCCCACGTCACAGCCCACAGCCCACGCCACAGCCCACGCCACAGCCCACGTCACAGCCCACACGCCACAGCCCACGCCACAGCCCACGGCACAGCCCACGTCACAGCACACGTCACAGTCCACGCCACAGCCCACGCCACAGCCCACGCCACAGCACACGCCACAGTCCACGTCACAGCCCACGCCACAGCTCACGCCACAGCTTACGCCACAGCTCACGTCACAGCCCACGCCACAGCCCACGTCACAGCCCACGCCACAGCCCACGTCACAGCCCACGCCACAGCCCACGTCACAGCCCACGTCACAGTCCACGTCACAGTCCACGCCACAGCCCACGCCACAGCCCACGTCACAGTCCACGTCACAGCTCACGTCACAGCCCACGCCACAGCCCACGCCACAGCTCACGCCATAGCTCACGCCACAGTCCACGCCACAGTTCACGTCACAGTCCACGTCACTGCCCACGCCACAGCTCACGCCACAGCCCACGCCACAGCCCACGCCACAGCCCACGCCACAGTCCACGCCACAGCTCACGCCACAGTCCACACCACAGCCCACGCCACAGCCCACGTCACAGCTCACGTCACAGCCCACGTCACAGCGCACGTCACAGTCCACGCCACAGCCCACAGCCCACGCCACAGCACACGCCACAGCCCACGCCACAGTCCACGCCACAGCCCACAGCACACGCCACAGCCCACGCCACAGCCCACGCCACAGCCCACGCCACAGCCCACAGCCCACGCCACAGCCCACGCCACAGCTCACGCCACAGCCCACGCCACAGCCCACAGCCCACGCCACAGCCCACGCCACAGTCCACGCCACAGCCCACGTCACAGCACACGTCACAGCCCACGTCACAGCACACGGCGGCGCAGGGCGGGGAGCGGGGAACGGTGATTAGGGAAAGCATCACGCCGAGCAGAGGGCGCTGCGACTGTAGAGAACGTCATCACCTGGATATTCGTACATGTATGTATTTATAGGTATATATATATATCCTTTAACATATCTTTATTACGAGGAATAGCCTCTTGAGATGCATCATCTCGTTTTCAGGAGGGTCCTCAAAAATAGCAACACAAGTAGCAGCAGCGGTTGTCAAATAAATGCAGTTACAGTAAAGTGTAACAAATAAAAAACATAACAAATTACAGTAAATAAATTCAATAAAATAACAGACAAAAAAAACTAATAAAAACAATACAATATATCAGTATGTATACTTTTTTTTGTCCTCTTCTCTGCTGCCACTAATACTGCCTCCAACAAGCCTTATAGTTTAAACACTACATCCATAGCTACAAGCAGTTAGTTATATATAGATGTTTGTATATTTTTTCTTTTATTTATTCTTATTATTTGTATTACTGTTTGTCTCATTATGCATTTACTACCGTTTCTTAATGTAACACTTTATCCCATGTCTTATCTACCCATAGGTTAAAACGTATCATTCATCCAGTATTATGCTTATTATTTGTCGTCCAATAATGTTGCTTGCACAATGTACTGTTCCACACACACACACACACACAAATCAAATAAATAAATAAATAAATAATAAAAAAAATCACCTGAAAATTTACAAAAAACTACTTTATAAATAGCCTGGCCTTATCCATCCGTACAGTCTGCTCAATCATCACTTCACTGCATGTAACGTCTGGGTCTGGTCCCTGGGTTAGTGATTACAATCGGTCGTATTTCAACCGGCGCGGAAGGAGAGTGTTGTAGGTCGGTGCCGGTGACGTCAAGAGTTTGCGCCGAACGGGCAGGTTGTAGTTTGGCAAAGAATGCAATAGTAAAGTAATCCGGTCTGGTTCTATCAAGAAATTGAAGCCGGAGCAAGAGGAATGTTTAGCAAATGTAATCGCTGGTCATGATTGTGGCGCTACTCCCCACGGGCTCTGTTAGCGGAAAAGAAGATGGCTAAAGCTAGGCTAAATGCTAAATGCTAACAACACACTCGGGCGCATTACATACGTCACAGTAAACTCAGATCCAATTGTTTCAATCTGCAAAAGGAGTTAACCCCTCCCACCTGTTCACGGAGTCAATGGAGCAAATCCAGAACTTAGTACGAAATGTAATTTGTACTGTGGTGTGGTACGACCAGGCTACTTTATAAACAAAGCTGGTCTGAGTGTGACGTCATAGGGGTGCAGAAGGGGCGGAGCTACATGAGTGCACCTGAAGTTCCGGATATTAGGGTCAGGGTTATTTCCAGGACTCCCTTGAAAATGAGGTTCTTAATCTCTATGGGACTTTTCTGGTTAATAAAAGGTTAAATAATCAAAGAAATGGATCTGAAAACAACTCCGGGTCTGTGACTGATAATGAGCAAAGTTGTGACGTGGTAAAAACTCAAAATGGATTTCATATGATGTCCCCTTTAAAGTTTTTTCAACGTTAGGTTTTCCAGCTTTAGGTAAAAAAATGAAAATGTGGCAATTGACAAAAAACTCTGAGCTTAAACTGGGGATGACAAAAACCACCGTCTCCATCTCGACAATAACTTCCTTTGGTGATATCCTGAAGTCCCTGAAGCCTGTGTCGCTGCCACAGACCTGACCTTTGACCTCGAGTTAAAGTCCACGGTGATCTAACGGTCTGACCCCGGCGCTCTCCGGGACCCAGTGCCTGTTACGGTCTTATCTGCGCCACCGTTATCAAGGCTGCGGCTGGAACCATGAGATAACAATGTTTTATAATAAGTAAGACACTGTAAATGCACAGGACTGAGGCTGTAGACCCAGGACTGAGGCTGTAGACCCAGGACTAAGGCTGTAGACCCAGGACTGAGGCTGTAGACCCAGGACTGAGGCTGTAGACCCAGGACTGAGGCTGTAGGCCCAGGACTGAGGCTGTAGACCCAGGACTGAGGCTGTAGACCCAGGACTGAGGCTGTAGGCCCAGGACTGAGGCTGTAGGCCCAGGACTGAGGCTGTAGGCCCAGGACTGAGGCTGTAGACCCAGGACTGAGGCTGTAGACCCAGGACTGAGGCTGTAGACCCAGGACTGAGGCTGTAGACCCAGGACTGAGGCTGTAGACCCAGGACTGAGGTTGTAGGCCCAGGACTGAGACTGTAGGCCCAGGACTGAGGCTGTAGACCCAGGACTGAGGCTGTAGACCCAGGACTGAGGCTGTAGACCCAGGACTGAGGCTGTAGACCCAGGACTGAGGATCCTCACATCAGGGTGTTCTGGTAAAGCACTCCCCCCTTCCCTTCTGTTTAAAGGCTCTGTTTTCAAACGTGTCAATCAGAACATATAATCATATGTTCTGATTCTGTTTTCTTTCTTTTAAAATAAAATCCTTTCTAATTTTTGCCATTTCTCTAGTTTGGAAAAACAAAATAACTACAAACTATCCTTTTTTCTTTTACCTTATTTTTGTATTTCCGCAGTGAAACCAGTGAAATGCAGAGACAGCTGTGATGACGTGAATCGACTTGACACCAGACGATAATAAAAGTATAAAGGTCAGTAGGTCTAATCGCAGCAGCTTCATTCATATAACAGTTGGTACTTTGCCCACAATGCACCAGTGCTGACCGACAGTCCGGGCCCTGGGTTCTGTGGACTCAGCAGTTGGACTGGAGCCAAACTATTGATGTTGGAATCTAAAAGGAACATATCGTCATCACAGAGTTGTTCTAAAGCAGAGGTACCCAAACTTTATCATCGAGCCATGACCTACATCAGAATATCACATTTGGTTTGATTCATTAGAGCCAGAGATAGATGGATGACAGACAGACAGACAGACAGAGGACAGACAGACAGACAGAGGACAGACAGACAAACAGACAGACAGAGGACAGACAGACAGACAGAGGACAGACAGACAGACAGACAGACAGACAGACAGAGGACAGACAGACAGACAGACAGACAGAGGACAGACAGACAGACAGACAGACAGAGGACAGACAGACAGACAGACAGAGGACAGACAGACAGAGGACAGACAGACAGACAGACAGACAGAGGACAGACAGACAGACAGACAGAGGACCGACAGACAGTTAGACAGACAGACAGACAAACAGAGGACCGACAGACAGACAGACAGATAGACAGACAGACAGATAGACAGAGGACGGACAGACAGTTAGACAGACAGACAGACAGACAGAGGACAGACAGACAGACAGACAGACAGAGGACAGACAGACAGACAGAGGACAGACAGACAGAGGACAGACAGACAGAGGACAGACAGACAGAGGACAGACAGACAGACGACCGACAGACAGACAGACAGTTAGACAGAGGACAGACAGACAGACAGTTAGACAGACAGACAGACAGACAGAGGACCGACAAAGGACAGACAGAGGACAGACAGAGGACAGACAGACAGAGGACAGACAGACAGAGGACAGACAGACAGATAGAGGACAGACAGACAGACAGAGGACAGACAGACAGACAGAGGACAGACAGACATATAGAGGACAGACAGACAGACAGACAGACAGAGGACAGACAAAGGACAGACAGAGGACAGACAGACATATAGAGGACAGACAGACAGACAGACAGACAGAGGACAGACAAAGGACAGACAGAGGACAGACAGACAGACAGACAGACAGACAGAGAACAGACAGACAGACAGAGGACAGACAGACAGTCAGACAGAGGACAGACAAAGGACAGACAGAGGACAGACAGACAGACAGACAGACAGAGAACAGACAGACAGACAGAGGACAGACAGACAGTCAGACAGAGGACAGACAGACAGACAGAGGACAGACAGACAGACAGACAGACAGACAGACAGATAGACAGACAGACAGACAGACAGACAGAGGACAGACAGAGAGTCAGACAGAGGACAGACAGAGGACAGACAGACAGTCAGACAGAGGACAGACTCTGTTTTATGGTTGGATTTGAAAAGCACTAAACACGAATAAGGCACGTTTATACAAGTTCAGTTCAGCTCATGACCTTTGCCCTGTGGGTGAAAGGGACGTCCCGTTGGCTGACATCCCCCTCCCTCCTGACTCCACACATTCATTAACTTATACTTATTCTACCCATCAAGAAATGTTTACTCTGCATTTGACCCACTCTCCACAAGGGCCCTGTCACAAGCAAGACCCCGGCCCCCAAGGAATGGGCTAACAAGACATAATATCAAAGTGATCAAGTTTTTAATGGAGGAGTGTGTAAACATGTGGCCAAAAGTGGTACTGCAGCCTCTCCCACTCTCCCTGACTCAGGTTGCCAGATATGCAGACGAATCCAGCTGGGACCATAACAGCTGAATAGACAAGAGTTTTGTCAACAACAAATCTATAACCAACACCTTTTTCACAAAGAAAGAAATCCTGGTTTTATTCCTTGTTTTGTCGTTAATGATTTAAGAATCATAACGAGGCCTTTTTTAGTTCTGCGCCACATGGTACTTTACCAGTGAGATTAGCTCCACGCGGTGAGTTCTGGCGCCCGGATGACGGACTTTCTGATTGGTGAAACGGTGGAGGGCGGGACATCGAAATGAAAACAATAACAAGAATTAGGGGCTGGAAAAGTAATTTAGAAAGAGCGGGTTTTATTAATGCCTTTTTACGGATTAGGGCCCTTTAATGATGACGGATTAGGGCCCTTTAATGAGGACAGATTAGGGCCCTTTAATGATGACAGATTAGGGCCCTTTAAGGATGACAGATTAGGGCCCTTTAATGATGACAGATTAGGGCCCTTTATTGATGACAGATTAGGGCCCTTTAATGATGACAGATTAGGGCCCTTTAAGGATGACAGATTAGGGCCCTTTAATGGTGACGGATTAGGGCCCTTTAATGAGGACAGATTAGGGCCCTTTAATGATGACAGATTAGGGCCCTTTAATGATGACAGATTAGGGCCCTTTAAGGATG